AGTACAGTATGCCCCATAAGTCATTATCCACATCTGGTCGCAACCCACGAAAGCTGCAGAGCTCAGAAGTTTGTTAGAGCCGTCTGAGAATCCTAATCCGATCAGCGCCTTGATACACAAATTCCGAAGGTTTGTTTATATTAACAGGCAATTTAATGATCTCGATATGTTAAATTCGTCGTATGGAATACTGACAACATTAGATAATACCTGCCATTGAATTCAAGGACCTATTACATGTCGAGAATCTGGTATATTGACAGAAAAAAATTTATTACTACGTGTCTCATGCCATGTTAAGGGATTCCCAACCTTCATAGATAAATATGTTATTATGCATAAATTACTGTAACCATGGTAACGCTGTTAAGATGTTTTCGGTCACATGATTTCCATTACTGCCTCCTACGTCTGCCAAAAATGACCATGACACACACTATTTCTTCAGTGTGTGTAGTTCTTGACGGTTCTCATAGCCACATACAAAACTTTATTAGTTTCTGTACAGCAAATCTTGTAGACCGGTTTCTAGTTTAAATCTATATTTCATTGAAAGGGCACTTGCCCCCGGATCTCACTACTACATTTTAATCGACCAATAACGACAAATGTTTAAACGTAAGATATTTAGTTTAGTTTCATTGTGTCCTCTAAATAAGCACACCCCGACAGTAAAGTCCCTTATGCGTCATGAAACCAACAAATATTCTTGCAATCGAGTGGGTTGGCTCAAATTTGATGTACAGACCGACATGTGACCGGCTTCTCTGACTTTACTAACTGGCACACCAGTAAAACTACGCTTGTATTCTACAGGTACCCTGTTCGTTTCCTGACCAAGCTACCGGCTTTTCTGTCTGAGAGTTCTCCCTTAGCTTTACCAAGCGAAGTCCGGGACAAAACACAGCCTGCAACTATCCGAATTGTCTCCTGCCGTAAGTCCGTTTTACCAAAATGTACGTTTTTATTGTCTTCCCCTATGTGTGCTACATGACTGTGTTCGGTTCCCATTCTCTCTACTTGTCACAGTTTAAGCATGACGTAACAAGTTGAGATGTGAACGCTGCACTAATCCACCTTGATAACATCCGTATTCACTCCATTAACAAGGCTATAATTTCCTGTAGTACTGAAACTGCTTTTCACTGAAAGACAAATCTTAAAAAAGCGCCTGTCTCTTACAAAACTAGGTCACGGGCCAATGAAATCTTTTCTGCCGTTAGTTTCTGTGCGAGACCCAAATAAATTATAATCGTAGTCACTCATAAAATTTAAATTCGGTCATCTGGATTCAAAATTTGTCTGGTCAGAACTGAGAGACCTAACTGAGGACCGACGTAATAATCTAATGGGCGAACGGGCCCATCACACTCCAGGGGCGGTGATGGATAAACATGGAACACTGGCAGAGAGAGAGAGAGAGAGAGAGAGAACCTAAGTAACCGTGTCCTAGTGCAATTTTATCCACTATAAGACCTAATCCAGATTTGGCAGTATTAAACGGCAGACTGCCTTAGCACAACACGACAGTCAATATTTTGTGTTAGCGTATGAGTCTAATGACATGAGTTCAGAGATCAGAACATACATGAATTGTTTTATACAGCTTCTAACCTTTATTTCAAAACCGTCGTATAAATACTGCACACACGGAGGCTGAGTTTATGAGATGGAACTCTAAAAATGCATCATAAAATCTAAATTATCTCTGAATAAAATTATTTTCAACATTATTTCTTTGATAATTTAAATACGTTACTGGCCTTAATGTTAATTTACTTAAGGAATTAATCTATGGTTGCAAAGCTAATGCCACTACACATATCAGGTGTTTTGTGTACTGAGAACGTCTGTCGTTTAACGTCCCGTTAGTTTATGTAAATGGCTGGATACCTCGTCGGTAACGCGTCTGACTCGCATACCGGAGGTAAATCTTGTCACAGAGACCTCCGAGCACTGCTGTGCTTTCAACTTCCGTCAACATAGTCAGCTTCCGGAAATCTTGAAATGTGTGTTAATATGTGTAATTTTTGATGTTGACTGTAGGAATCGGAGAGAAGACCGGTTTCACACCGATTTTCTTCAAAGCATGGGACAATTCCTTCACCTTCGAGGATCGTACAGAGTTTTCGTCGTGGATTTCTTCAGTTTCGCCAGGATTAAAAATGTCACACGTTTAAAAATAAAAAGACTAAATATATGTTAACGTTCAATCGCCCCTAATTCAGGATAAGTCCGTAACATAATTGTTAATAAATCACGTGACGATAAGATAATATCAGTTATCTGTCTGGGAACCACAACGAAATTATATTCACAAAGACTTGAATAAAATATGAAATTAAAGAAATTCGTGATATTAATTAATATGCCTGTTACCACGTAGTGCAAAAATTAAACTATAAAACATTTAAAAATACAATTTCACCTCCTGTGGGTGTGAGGCTGAAACTCACGTTCTAAGTAGAAAACAGACTGAGGATGTTTGAAAAACAAAGCAATCAGGAGAATATCAGGACCCGGGTAAGAGGAAGTAACAAAACGTTGAAGAAAAGTACATAAGGAGGAGCTACACAATTTGCACTTTTCGTGAGATATTATTAAAATGTTCAAATCAAGGCGGTGGGGCTGGACGGGGCATGCAACACACACAGCAGAAATGAGCAATGCGTAAAAATTTTACTCTTAAAATCTCAAAGAGAAGACCACGTGGGAGATCTATATGTTGATGGAATGATAATATTAAAATGCATTTTAAAGAAATAGGCTGTGAGAATCCGGGCTGGATCCAACAAGTTTGGAACAGGGTCCGTTGCAGGCATTCGTAAACCTGTTCCATAAAATATTCTTTTTTAAACTGCCAACTATTGAAACAAGTGTCTGTAGAGCGGAGATACACAACCGACATTTCTTCCAGTTTTTAGCAATTAACATGACGACAGATCACCTTGGGCGAAAAGCATAAATTTGATTATGCCAAGTGTAGCATAAATTGAAAACATGCGAAATCCAGGACAAGGTTAATGGTCACGACTAAAAACGTTCCAGTCTCTCAGCAGAACAACTCCAGGTCATTCCGAAGTAGTACCAAGTCAATTAAGTGCTCGTTGAAATTCAACTGCAAATACGAGAGACATCAATTTAAAACTTTAAAGCACAAAGATAACCTGCCTCAACAAACATTTCCGAATTTTTCCCACATTGTGTATTTATGTGTTTCGTATGATTCTCTGGACACCTAGCTTCGATAGTCGGAGACAAGGAATGTATACAAAATATTGGTAAGGAACGTGTTGAAAATGGAAATTGGAAGACCGAAGACAATATTTTTGAGTAATAATATGATGAATCATAGTATGATCGGATTTGAAGCGGATGAAAATGGCTCCTACAACATTTAAATAAGATTGATTGTGAACACCAACTTTTATGTGAAAAATTTCTCGATGATATAAATAATAAACGAGACAGAAACAAATCATTTCCGACTAAGCAGTCCAAATCCATAGACCATAATTATGCAAACAACTAATTTGCTTCTACAATAAATTAATATCGAGATCAGAGAAATACACAAAATCCCAAGGAACGTATTTGGAAAATATATTTAAACTGGATTTTACTTTTCTGCTGTCTGTAACTGGTTTCGTCCCCACAGAAACAAAATTATAGATTTCGTTCCTACGATCACGTAACGTGACTCGGGCGTACGCATGCGGACATGTTTGTTTTCCAACTGCCACCAGAGAGAAAAGATTTGTTTTCTCTCCTAACTCGGCCAGGCAGAACAGACCGACGGTGAAAGTGTAGGTCTGCCGTACGAATGTGTTTCATATTAACTGATCACGTAAGGACAATACATGTTATCAAATCCAGACCGGACCTGCTTCAGGCTCAAACGGAGAGTGAAACTTGGAAACTTCATAAATTCTTTGCAGACCCTACCCGACATCGTTCAGTACAAATTTACTCTTCGTTTCCTTGTTTATTTTGCAACTTCCTAGAAATAAAGGCACTCTGAGCGCACCTGTAACGCATTCGCTTCGTCACTCCTAGAATTTTTGACGGTTTCAGATGTCCTCTTGTCGTCTGTGTTGGTCACTTAAATCAATGTCTGTACCGGTTTCGATATCCTGTTAACAGGACCACCTTCGTCTTATTCATGAAAAAATAAGAAGTATATACACAGGTGAAAATAATAGTGAAAATTACTGTCTTATGGTTTGCAGCGCCGTGTAGTCTGGTACAAATTTCAGAGCTTATCCATCACAAGGGCGATGAGTCCTCATCGTCCTGATGATGGCGGCAGCAAGGACTACACGACATTACAATCCAGAAGACCGCCATATTTGGACTCACTGCCGTGGAAGTATCAAATCTTACTCAATAACTTAATGTTAGAGACAACGTTTGCAATTCAAACCCGAAATCATTCGAGTACTAGGCTAGAATGCTAATAATTTTTATTATATCTTCGGCCTTCAATCTCGATAATTTCTTCTATACGGTTTTTTCATCTCTTCATGTATATGTATCTCATAATTGTCTCCAGCTGTTTTTTCGGTGTAACTTTAGACTGTATTTCTTCTGTGCCTAACCTGGACTATCAGCCCAACATTCTGTTTTAAGCTGTTTCTATTCTTCTATCCCCTGCCTGACTAAAGTATGAGTGAGTCACAGTTAGGCAAATAAGCATGAAACAATTTCAAAGACTCTCTCTCTCTCCATCAGGGCCACATCAGTCACTGTTGATAGACACTGACAGTGACGTAACGTAAGTTGTCGATGGTAGAGGTTAGTGTCGACACGACAGCATTCCATCCCTGGTGTTGGAGATCAGAACTTATTCACGTAGGGATCCTAGTCCCTGATGACGGAAACATAAATTACCTCCAAAACGTCGCATCCTTTTTCCATAATTCTTGAGTAGGCTTCAATGTATTTAGTCGCCGTCAAAGCTTCGCTAAGGATTATGGTAGGGTGCATAAAGAACTCAAAAGTTACTCGAATTTTCTTTATTACGAATACTGTAGAAAACACTTTATAATATAAAACGTATTAATCATAAACGAATCAGACACTTTGTACAATACAATGAGAAATGTTATTTACAACAAAATAAGAAATAGTGGTGAAACATATTTCGTGACACTTACAGATAAAAGGACATTAAAATTACTTTCAACATACAGCCCAGTCATAAAATATTGTTTGTGATTAAATGCATGCAAGTTAAATGAAGCAAATGCTAGGAGCACAGGTTCAAATGGTTACTCAGATCTCGACACAGCGAGCGCTGGGATCACAGGTTCGAAACCCGCCCGAAACACAGATATAAATGTGCATTCTTCATCATCAATCATCAACACACTCATCACTGTGATCCACCAAATTATGTGGGGATTCTGCCATGGATTGTCCCTTTTTGACTGAGATGAAACATTATTTAAGAATCACAGGAAAGAATTCCCAGCCTCCAGAGAAATCCTGGACAAAAACCAACAACAGAGTCAATGAAAGCGAACAATTTTTCACAACACGAATAGTACAAAGAAATGTCACCAGGTGGTAATATAATCGGAGAACTACGAAGTGAAATCCTAGTGAAAGTCAATCCATTTCCTGTATCATTATGAATTATTTTTGTTGTTGCGCATAAAGTTGTAAACTTACGAGAATGTGAGAAAGAAATGTTGTAATGAAATGGTCTGAGGGAATTACAGTGGAAAGTTAAAGAATGCTTATTGTTAATTCTGAAAAGAAACTCATATTCTGTTTCTGTCACACATTTGTAGCAGATAAACATAACCAGTGCATGAAGTAGGTTCTCAGGATTTCTCTTAATTAACGAAGCTTATAAATTGAGCATTAAAATAAATGAAAGAAAGTTTGTCTGGCGTCGCCTTGGAAACAAACAGAACTATGGTTGTTGTTGTAATATAAATAGTTAACGTTTTGGAAACTACAAAAATAACCAGAGAAGTTAAGTAAACACTTCGACTTTGTTGTGACACTGACTTCGAATGGCATTAAACGTAGAAACATAATTATTATTTTATATTATGAATAACGTTAAACTATCAATTGTTGAATAAAATAAAAATTACACTGCGTAGATATGAATTTGTGTTTAGTAAAATGTAAACTGCATCCAGAAATATTTCAAACATACATTTTTATCTTAAAATGATTAACTCCCTGTCATGCAACAATTTCATGTCCGAAATGCAAATAACTCGAAAAAAGCTGATTTACGTTTATTTAATTCTGGTCTGACTAAACAGTACAATCCTCTGCTGTACATTACGTTAAAATAAAAGTGGAAAAATAAATTTAGTTATTATAAATCCCTGCGTTAGACATCAAGCTAGGCGAGTCACTTTCACCTCGCAATTGATAATGAAACACATTCACACACTCATTCGCTATTTACTCGCATACACACGCAGTTTAGTCACGGAGACCTGCATTGTTCTGACTTCAGATGCAAACGAGATAACAAAGACATGTGGGACGGCTATAAAATCAGTTGTCTAAAAAGTTGCAGTAACAGCACAAAATCCACTTCATCTCAAAATGATACAGAAATTTAATTATCTTTATTAATTTTATCAGAAATATTTCTGGCCATGGTATGATATAATAAATGTACAGAAAATAAGATGCGAACTGGGCTGAACTGGTACAAGATTTTTGTTCAAGGTCAACCATGGTTTCCATAACAAGAAGAGATTTCCTTCCTAGCTATATGAATTAATTGTAAAAGTAAGAATATATATAAGTACTTCTGTTGATTTGAAGGTTCTGTACGTGCATTAAAGTCGATATTCAACTGAAGATTTTGGTTTTTCAACGAAGGAAATAGTAAAATTACGATATGACTACCTTCATCTTCCAAATACACGAAATTAAAATGCGTAGCACACCGACTCTGGTATCAGCTTAAATCAAAGTCAGAGATGACAAAGTATTGACGTATAATAATTTCCCATAGCAATCATGGTACATGTAAAGTGGACAGACAGAAACAAAAAGGGTCTGAATCCGAATTAGAGAACCTAATTTAGCATATAAAATGTTGCGCTGGTGTAAACATACAGAAAGAATAACAAAATATCTGTCAAATTATAAATAGACGAGGGCAGAAAATAAGGAGCTTGTAGTGATTATAGCAAATCATTAAATCATTTAAGGTAGATGGTTGGAATTAATCACAATTACGCAGAACAAAACAGTATGTAGATTACATTGTAATAAATGTTATTAAATATGAAAATAAATAACAATTAAACAACTGTTACATGTAATAGAAAAATTTAAATGTTAAGATTTAAAAAACCATAAAATCACAGAAAATATCAGACGATTACAAATAATTAACTTTGGGATTCGTATATTTAGCCAAAATTTCAATCATGCAGGAATGTCGAAGTAAAAGCTTGGAGTGTAAACATGGACGTTACGATGATTATATCAGAAAACGTTACAAATAAAGAAAGCAGAACAAACTGTTGAAATGTTACGAATTCTTGTCGGCCGCTAAATGAAATCTACTGCATACCATGTAGAGAAATTTGACACAAAAGTTTTGGATCAATTCGAGAGTCATTAATGATATATCGCACGTAAGATAGCCACCCACTACAACGTAGAGACAATGACCTCTCTGGTTCAGTGCCACTTCACAAACCAAGCGATGCATCTCTGAACAATGATGTGACTTCCATACGTAAACATCTGATCACGGACAACAACATGAAAAACAGAGTCCAAAAAGGTGGATATCCTCTGGAATTTTGCGCCGTGTAGTGTGGTAGAAATCGATAGACGTTTCAGAAGTTTTAGGGTGATGATAGAGACAGTAAGCACCCCTGAAACGTTGATCAATTTCTACCAAACTATGCTGCGAAACATTCCAGAAGACAGACGTCATCATACTCCTCGCCATGAGAACCTAAAATCTGAAGAAGTGCCACCTACTTACAGTGCCACAATTTTGAACTAATTCATCCAGAAAATCTTGTAACTTACCTTTTCGATTGTGGACTGTATGTGTCAGAAGTGGTTCCCAAACTTATTTACTCCAAGAAAACCTGACAAATCTCAGAAAATATCCAATAAAATTAAAAGATCTAAAATGTATTCTGTGTGCTCATTAATTTACTTCCAAACATCCACTTGATTTAAAGATGGCTGTCTTCTGGGATATAGCAACGTGTAGACCGGTGGATAATGACAGATCACTCAGATGATAGAAGCAGTAAGCTCCTGTGATATGTCGGTCAAGTGTAAGACTTCAAGAAGACAACCATCTTCAAACCCGTCTCTGTGAGAATCTGAGCTCTCACCTCTTGATCTACTTTAAAATACAGAACAAAGCCATTATATGTTGTTTTGTAATTCAGTACCCTTCTCAATATAACAGAAACGTTTCATAAAATACGCAAACAGGGCTTTTATATTTATATGAGCCACTTCTCTTAATGGTACACAAGAATTCCAGCATTAGGCACTATTTCCAACTATCCTCCTAAAAGAATCCTGTAAGCGAACGTCAGTTTGGGAACCACTGCTATACGTCAATCAACATAGATACAGTTCTGTTAAAAATGACTTCCGGCTTTGTTAGAGGGAGCAGCTGAGCCCGCGGTCCAACAAAAATACAGTGTTTTTAATCAGTTCAGTTGCACAGGTAGTGTGCAACGCCTAACTGGTTTCGCTTTGGTTCTGGGACACATTCAGAACGCGATATTATGTCCCCTGAGGAAGGCATCGATTTGCCCCTGAGCCTGTCCGCCGACGTCAGAAGGCGCAACGTAATAGAATGGCTGTACAGAGCGCTGAGTTGTTTGTTGTGGCTGGTAGAGCTGGAATCTCTGAGGACCGGTGATCTTGGTGGACGTCGGCTGGTACCTCTGCTCTACAACACGCTGTTGCTGCTGCTGGGAATACAGCTGCTGGTTCTGCTGTATCTGATTGTAGATCTGCGGTGTGAACAGTGACTGAGACTGCTCTGTGTTCACATACGGCTGTAGCCTGTGCTTGAGGCTGACCTCGGCTGTTGTCTGAGGCAGTGTCTGGTACAACACAGTGTTGTACTGACCGCTGGACGGGTCGTACACCAGCTCGGTCTGGTACACAGGATTTGAGGATAATTGTTTAGAAGACGTTTGTTGAATCGTCGCCAACTGTGGTCGTGCTGTTGGCCTCGGTTGCTGGTATAGTGGCTGTGATGAAGACACAGCTGGGCGTGCCACTGTTCGTGGAGTGGACACTACGTTGTTTTCCAACTGAAACTTCCTGAGTTCGGCATCGAAATCAACAGGGGCTACAGTGGTTGGAGTAGAGTAAATGGAAGACTGGGTGGGGCTGCCAACGCTGGTAAATTCTTTGGTATAGACGACTCCAGGACGGGGAGTGGCGGATACAGGAATCAGCTGTGGTCGATACGTGGTTGCAGGCAGCTGCGACTTGACTGTCGTGGACAATGTGAGAGGACGCGGGGTGATTCTGACTGCTGGAGGTTGCGTTACAGCGTCTTCTTGATTCTGGGCGTACTGATACACCTGTGGTCTGCGAACGGGTTGTGGTACAACGCGAGATCTCACAGGGGGCGCTGGTTGGTACACTTGTTGTGGTTCATATTCAAGTTGATCTTCATCGGCCTGGTTGTAGTTTTCTTGGAAAATGGTAGTGGTTGTTCTGGTGAGAGGTGCTGCAGTAGGTCTCGGTCTTAATGGCCTTATAGGCCCTTTAGGAATGTTTTCTTCGCCACTGTCGTCAGCCAGTTCTTTGCCACTTTCTTCTTCCTGACTGACACTGTTTGGGTCGCAGGGATTTCCGGACACATACGTGAACTCCCGTTTATTGCCGTCAGGATCCACATACCCGTACTTCCCCCTTACAACACAGTCTGTTCCGCGGACCTCTTCCTTGAAGCTACCGTCAGCAGCTTCGTATCCGAATGTAAACGACCCGTCATCATTATATTTACTATAATTTCGAATAGTTTGCACCGGTGGCTGTTTTGACGATTCTTTCGGGCGGGAAACGGGGCTGGTGGCGGACAGAGTCCTGCCAATGGGTCTGTATTCCTGTTCACGAACAGCTGCTTGCGTGCGCGGTCTGGCATACTGCAGACCGTTGTAAGCATCTTGGCTTGATACCAGAACAACCCCTGCGGTCTGTGAATCGTCTGCAGGCGCCTGGGCCGCGTAGTATTGTACCTGCTGGTCCCGTACCTCCTGGTCCTCCACGTCTTCATTCACCGGCCTTACGCGCACGCGCCGAGCAAAGCCCGGTGGTGCGAACAGGAGAACCATGATTCCCACTAGGACAGGCAGCGTCTGGAATTGTTTGCATTTACAATTAACAGACCGATATATTTTGCATGCAAATGGAAAGGAGCGAAGACTACAGGAATATTCACTGAGACCTAAATTGTTTAAGTGAGGTAAACATTCGAATTGTTGAAAACATTTTCCCTGCCCATTCTTTTTCACATTTTTAAAGGTTATTTATGGTTTATTTAACGGCGCTTTGGAGTTCCTAGTTTACATATAATTGAATAGTGGGATGATAAGTGAGTGGTGGTATGGAAAGGCTGGGCAGACAGGATCTCCCTATTGTGTGTTTGCGTACGAATGAAAATCGCATAAAATTAAAACAAAGATTCAACAGTGGGTATTAACCGTGAACATTTTGACGGTGAAACTCTGTACTAATGAAATTTAACTCTGGCGTATTATCACGGTCCTGTCGACGTTTGGGAATCTTATTTAAACACAACGCAACGAATGACGGTTTCTAATTTCCAGCGTTCCGCTCACTTAATTTCTTACAGAGTTACTAATGAAGTGAAAATTCTCTATTTATCTTACAGGCAGATTTTAAAAACCTTCACAAAGCTCTCAAGTGGAACTGTGAGCAACTCAGCGGAAGAAAATTCGTATTCAGAAGCTGACAGTTGCTCAGTTGGTCAAAATATTCCCCGCCTTCTACGGAACTCTGCCCTATGACAAATAAATCTAACCCACATCCTCACTCCCATTAATCTAATATCCATTTTAATATTATCCTCCCATCTATATCTATGTCTCCCAAGTGGTTTCTTTCCCTTATTTCAGACTAAAATTTCGAATCCAGTCTCATCTCTACCATACATGAAAATTCATGGTCCAAATCATCTTCCTTGATTTAATTAGCTTAATAGACTAAAAATTAGTAGGGGGGAAACATGAATCTCCTCTGACCTCAAATGCCCTCAAGAAACGTACTTGTATCAAAAAATAGAATGATATAAAGACCAATGAGTTATAAATTTGCAAACAAGACATTTAGAAGCGATATGTACATCAAACTAGAGTACAGTGGCGCTGGCAGAGCAGTCCCTAGTGAATGTTAAGTTATGAGACTGTTCACATAAAAGTCGCATAATTGCTCCAGCCAAAAAGAAGGAAATGAAAAGCAAATGTTATGTCTTAGCAGTGACTCAATAGGGCGTATGTTACTTAAAGTTGCGCTGTGACGTAGAAAATTGCTATGGCCACCTTGAACTGTGCCTCTGCGGTCCACACGCCCTTCCCTCTCGATCCAAGGGCGTACCCAAGCCACGTCTGTTCCACTTTCCAAACACGCTTAGCAGAATTCCTCAGGCAACGGCAGAACGTTTCGAGAATACCAACAAGCAAACTGGTCTCATTTAACGAAACAATGCGATGTAAATATGGACTGTATTCGGTTTACGACGGTTCGATTTACGACCATCTGGTTTACGACACTTTTACGTCACTAAAGGATCGATTTGCAACGAAGATAATTTATTTACGACGCAACGCACGTCATCATGGACGCATGTGAATACACAGAAATAAATAAAGTATACCTAAAAAATCTGTACTATGTTGTGCCCTTAACGACTTTCATCCATAAATTTATATCACTGGCGGATATTTGTCACAAAACTGCAATTTTAAATTTATAACCGTTTATGTGTTACATTAAACCTCACATATCTAGTGATTTTGCTGAAAAATGGATTCATAGCTGGTGGCCTGGAGCATAAAAAAGAATTTGTAACACTGCGTTTAGGGAGAAGCTGGGTCCGATTTACGACGGGACGCGCTGTTATGAAAACGGGACAGCGTGTAGAGGAAAAGTCTAGAGTTAAAGATCAGCTATGTATTAATACTTGCACTCTTAATCAAATAATGTTAACATACTTTTAGTTTATAAAGCTGACATAGGCGGGATGCAATCAAGGACTGTTTTAAGACACTACCTTGAAAACTACATAATGATAAGCTTCATAATTGTACTCTTCAGTTCATTATCAAATTTAGGAAGAGAAAATGGACGGAGATGTAGCACGCATTAGAAATAATAAAACTACACAAAAGTTTTGGTCTGAAAATCTGGAAGGAAAGAGGCCGCAAAACCTGAAAAACTTCCCTGAAGATAGCAGATATAAATTCTTATGAAACGTTTGCAGGCACCTACAAGACTTTACGGTGATACAACAGAGAAGACCACTGTCAGCAGTATTAAGACTGGTCATGAAAAATTATGACGGGAGAGTGTGGACTGGATTAAACTGGCAAAAGGTAGGGACCTATGGCGGGCTCTTGTGAACAGGGTAATAGATATTTGGGTTCCATAAACGGCAGGTAATAACTCATTATCTGAGCAAATATTAGATTTTCAAGAGGGATTGTGCTCCACAGAGTTAGTTATCGGCAGAAGTTTGTGAACACAGCGACAAAACTTTCTAAAACGAAAAATAACTTAGGTCAGGCAGAAAACTGTCAATTGTTTAAAGAACCTGTGTCTTATAGGTGGTTAATGTCTCATCACACGCAAAGCTCAGTCACGTCGATCCACGACGTACTGCATCTGAAAGTGGCATGAATGTGTGAAAAATGAAAGTGACGGCATGACAGACACAGGGCATACGCGATATGCAGGCCCGCACACAAACACACACGAAATTCAATGACAGAGACGTGTTTTAAGAAATACTTTCATTTTCCAACAATCTGTTTTTATTGTTCATGTTACCAATATTAAAGTGACTTTCACTTTCGTGCGTAACTTTAATCTATCTACACAATAAAGTCCACAAATCAGATTCAGTCTTTTGATCCTACAAAGCCGAACCTCGTGTAAATAGTATTTAATTATTCAGTCTTACCGCAAAGAAAACAACACTTCACAATTACAAAGATCAGTTGTTTAATCCTGTATGAGGAAACAATATCTGTTTACAGTGAGAATCATACGAAACCCATAAATGCAAAATAAAGAGTAAATAATTCTTACAACAGCTGGTATATGTAGTTACTAATCAGCTTTTAAAAAAATTTGTCTGAAATCCCTGCTAAGGACATACGCCAATACACTTGTTTTGTGTCATACTATAACTACACAGACCTTAAGATGTCCTGATTCCCCATCGAAGGAGTCGTATCACATGAGCCCTATTGATTTAAAAAAAAACTCTATAATAGTCCTGAAGATGTACGAAGTATATACTTCCGAAACTTTGGCATCTACCTACAAGTTTACACAGAAGACCAACATCGACAATTCACTTCCGTGAGAACCTGAAATCT